ATTTCTACCCACAGCCGCCCATGTGCCGGCTAAACAACTGCCGCTAATACCCATTTCTGTGTGAATGCCCCTTAAGAAAAATTGGGCTGGAAGCACATTAAGCTTGGACCGGAGAAAATCAAATTGAGYTAGAGCAAGAGGTTTGGTAAAAATATCGGCCAACTGATCATCGATAGAAATGTATCGAGCATCCAGATTTATGCAGAGAATATGATCACGCAAAAAATGAAAGTTCACTTCAATGTGCTTCATCTGAGCATGAAAAACTGGATGTGCCGCTAGATACGTAGTACCAATGTTATCACAATAGAGAATAGGTGGAGATGACTGATGAACACCCAAATTCCGTAACAGAGACTGAAGCCACAATAATTCAGTGGTGGTATTGGCTAGAGAATGAAACTCAACTTCAGTACTGGACTGAGAAATGGTGGGTTGTTTCTTAGCACTCCAGAAGATCAAATGAGACCCAAGAAAAATACCATAACCGTTGGTAGACTGGATGTCATCAGAACAACCGGCCCAATCAGCATCTGAAAAGACAACTAAACTCCTAGGAGAATTAGATGCAAAGAATATCCCAAACTCAATTGTACCTTTGAGATAATGCAAAATGCATTTTACTACTGCCCAATGATCATCAGTTGGATTTTGAAGAAACTAGCAGGCCTTGTTTACAGAAAATGCCACATCTGGCCAAGTCAGAGTAACATATTGTAAGGCTCCAATAATATTGCGATATTGAGTAGGATCAGGAAGAGGTTCACCTTGAAATTTCGACAATCTGGATGTAGGTGCTATAGGCATGGTCAAAGGTTTAGAGGTTGCCAGATTGGTCTTCTGCAGGAGGTCCAAAATATAACGCCGTTGAGAAAGAAACAGCCCAGTCTTGTCTCAATGAGCCTCAACTCCAAGAAAATATTGTAGAGATCCAAAGTCCTTGAGAGAGAAACTCCAAGACAAGTCCAGAATAAGTTGAGAAACATGAGTAGTAGAACTAGTAATAATAATATCATCAACATAAACCAAAACGTATAGAGAAACATGATCTTTAGTATAGATGAAGAGAGAGGGATCATGCTAGGAGCCTCTAAAACCAAAATCATGAACCCTGCTACTAAGCCGAGAAAACCAAGCCCGAGGAGCTTGACGAAGACCATACAGAGCTTTTGTTAACTTGCAAACATAATCCAAACGTGTCTGATCTTCGAAACCCTGTGATTCCCTCATATATATAATGTCCCATCCTTGTGAGGTAGCCAAAGACAAAACTGTACGGACAGTGGTCGTCTTAACAATAAGGTTGAAAGTGTTAGGGAAATCAACACCAAGAACTTGAGAGAAACCCTAAACAACTAATCTGGCTTTATATTGTTCTATAGACCCATTAGGTTTTCTTTAAATCTTGTAAACTCATTTAGAGCCAACAACATTCATTGACGGATCATAAGGAACAAGTTCTCACATGCCATTTTGTATGAGAGCATGAAACTCAGATGCCATAGTAGTACGCTAGTGAGTAGACTTCGACGCCTGAGAATAGGAGGATGGTTCTACATCACTTTGACTACTATCTGCCAATAATCCTTCAGGTAGAGGATACCTTGTGGCAATCTACGCATGTTGGGAAGCCATGGAAAAGAGATAATAGAATGTGTCCGTGCAGCCAGGGCAGGAACAATAAATGCGGTGTCCAGAATGTCTTGAAGCAACCGTGTTCTCTGGTGTGGAGGCTCTACCTAATTGTCAGTATGAGATACAAAATCATTAGTATCAAAAAAAAAAGATCTTGTAGTTGTACCTTGCTTAGGAGGATGAAAGTCATGTGAAGGACTATCATTATCTTGTGCACCAGTAACTGAAGGAACATGTAGTAGGGTAACTGGTGCCGAATTTAGAGGTGTAGAAGAACAACTTTCTTGATAGAATCCTAGAAATTGTTTCTCCTAAAAAATCACATGTTTGGTAATAATTTCTTGTGAAGTTACTAGATTATAGCACTTGTACCCTTTATGAGAAGAACTGTATCCAATAAAAATGCAACAAACAAATCTATAGTCTCCATCTTATGCTTGTTATAAGGCCGAATAAAAAAATAACAAAGACAACCAAAGCTCCGTAAAATAGAATAATCAGGTTTTCGACTAAATAACTTTTCATAAGGTGAGAGATTACCAAGGATTGGTGTAGGTAACCGATTAATGAGAAACAATGGAGTTTTTGTTGCTTCAACGTAGAAGGATTTGGGAAGAGAGGAGGGTGCTAGTAGAGAGAGAGTGGACTCAATAATATGTCGATGTTTCCGTTCAACACTTCCATTCTTCTCATGAGTATGAGGAAAGTTCACCCATTGCAAAATTCCTTCATTATCCAAGAAGGGAGATCATTTTCAAAATTCTCCTCCCCAATCACTTTGGAACATTTTAATTTTAGTAGAAAATAAATTTTCAGCATATCTCTTAAATTTCAGAAAAGCATCAAAAACATCTAATTTTCTTTCAAGGGGGATAAATCCAAGAGAACTTCAAATATGCATCCATAAACAAAACATTATATCTATAACCTTTAATAGACAAAACTGGGATGGGTTCCCATACATCTGAATAGACTAATTCCAAAGGCAGTGAAACACTACTAGAAAAAACTAACAAATGTAAATGATGGGCTTTGCTTAATTGGCAAGTTTCACAAACAAAATTATCATTCACATGTCCTAAATAAGACAAACCAAATTTAGAAATCACTAGTTTAACAACTTTCAAGGATGCATGTCCAAGTCGATGATGCCAATCCTGGAGAGAAGCTCTTTCTCCAAAGCACTTCAACTAAATTTTCTTTGTCATCACTGGTTCCCGAAAACTGATAGAGTCCATCTCTACTCGGTTCTTTGATTAAAGTCCTCCCCATATGATCCTTCAATAGAAAGAAATCTGGGTGAAATTCAAACACTAAATTATTATCTCTTGTGAGCTTGCTAACAGAAATCAAATTCTTTGTCAAAGCAGAAACATGATAAACTTTTTTCTAATTAAACTAATGTTGATCATAATTTAAGGAAGCATAACCAATGCGCTTAATAGTCAAACCTTCACCATTACCAATTTTCACTTGATCCGTACCCAAGAATTCAGACTTGTTATGTAAGTTATTAGCATCTAGAGTCATGTGATGAGTTGCTCCACTATCAAGGTTACCAAGTAGGGTCAAAATTGGTTGTTGACCCATTATATGAGGACATACCACTATGAAATGCAGTCATAGGGCCTGGAGAATTATTATTTTGTTCTCCTTGATACGAGAGATCATACCGTTTATAGCACTTCAATGCGCCATGACCAAGTTTGTTGCATACTTGGCAAATAATGGGATTACCTCTGCCTTGACCTTGTCCCCGTCTAGACTGATTGCCACGCCCCCTGCCTCTACCACGACCATAATTGTTTCCTTTGTAGTTCTGAAATTGAGAATTGTTATTGCTGGTTTTGTCATTATAGTTGTTATTTGCGGCTATATTGGCATGGGGAGCTTCGCTGAAGACATTATGTTGAACAAGTCAGGATTCATGACTAAGAAGCAAACCAAGAATATCATTAATGCTTAACTGATCAGCATATGTTCTGTTAGTAATAGTAGTGATAAGAGATTCATATTCACTTCCTAGCCCAGATAAAACATATAGGACAAGATCATCTTTGGCTACTGGTTTAGAAACAGTAGACAGATTGTCTGCAATAATTTTTGCTTTCTGAACATATTCACTTATGGACAAATTTCCTTTTTTAAGGTTCTATAGTCGATGCATAAGTTGTAACACCCTAGATCGTGAGTGAGAAGAGAATGATCTCTCTAGGGAACTCCAGACTTCGGCTGCACTGCACAGTCCAACAACTTGGGCTAATACGCCCTTTGTTAGAAATGCAACAAGACAACTTAGAACAAGTTGGTCCAATTGTACCCAAGAAGAATAATTTGAGTTAAGAATTTTCTTACTACCATCATTAGGATTTGTGATTCCCTCTGGTGGTTCCTTGGTCGACCCATCAATTAGGCCCATCAGCTTGTATGCTCTGAGTACTGGCAAAAGTTGAGCTCTCCATAGAAGAAAGTTTTCTCCGTTCAACTTGATGGTGAGATAGGGAGAAATATTGAGAATGGAGTTCATGGCTACTGTTGTAGTCATGTTCTAAAGATCAGAAGAATTGGAGCTCATGGCTTCATACGAATCAACACTGTTAGATGCCATTGGCTCTGATACCAAGTTAAAGTTTGGAGAAAAGGAAAAACAATAAAAAACTAATAAAAAAATTCTTGTATTTCTTAGCCCTGGTTGACCAGGATGAGATGGGTACAATATATATACACAAAGAATAAAATAATAATGGAAAAAAGTAGAGAATAGGCATTGCCTATGTAGAATCATTCCTAATTGATTCTCTTCCTAATTTACTTGTTTCTAAATTTGTATGAGAATCATCATTGGCAACTACTAATCTAGAGAGAGAGTCTTCTTTGGCAATTGCTAATGTTGTGAGAGAGTCTTCTTTGGTAACTACTAGGGAGCCTTTATTAGTAACTTCTAAATTAGATTGAGAAATAAGTAAGTAAATAGGTGAATTTCCCACCCCTTGATGGAAAGACGCAAGTGTCCTAGCTAAATCAAAGATTTCATTGGCCCACGTCGTCCTGTACTGTCTAAACTCAAAATAAACTAGTAAAAAACCAATCTCGAAAACTCTCAAACTCGTTCTCTGAAGTGGAGCTGAAGCGGTGTCGTCTTCATCGTCTCAAGCGACAAGAAGTTTGAGAAAGCTCGATACCACACCGAGCAGATGAAGGTTGTATTTATACACGTATCTTGAGTACAAGGTTTGAATATTAAAGTAATTAAAAGTTTTAATGAAAATACAACAGTAACAAAATTTATCATAACAGAGAAGAGATCAATATTAAAGTTTATTTGTGTTATATAATTTAGTTATCGTTCTAATTAATTTAGATAATTAAACGAAATGTCTCGTCCAGTTCAGTTTAATTCGGATACTGTGAGTAAAACAGGTCACCTTCCTTGAAACAAAAATGGGTTGACAACACAATTAACAAATTGAACATGCATATTCCAAACCAGTAACGGAAACATTTTAGGCTTATTCATGGGAATAAGCTTGCAGAAGGCACATCGATTTTATATCTTTGATCAGTTTGTCCCAGTTGCAGGAAGAGGAACCTCCTTCGCTAACAGACATCCTCGCTAACTTCGCCATCTTATCTGCCGATTTCAACATTTCATCCATTTTCTTCTCCATCAGTTCTTTCACCATTAACTCCACCTTCCATCTGTCGCACGTATCCTTCATGTCTAGACCCAGCTTCCACACCTCGCTGACAAATCTGCTGTTCACCTGCTGATCCGCGAAGTAGGGCCAACAGATCATCGGAACTCCTGCGCAAATGCTCTCCAGGGTAGAATTCCACCCACTGTGGGTCAGAAAACCACCGACGGCCGGGTGGGCCAAGACTTCTTCCTGGGGAGCCCATCCCACTATGTATCCCCTCTCCCTCGTCCCCTCCACCAATTCTGTCAAGATCTGATCCTCCCCTTCCTTTCCAGCTAACAAGTCCGGCCTTATCACCCATAGGAACCACTTTCCGCTGTTTACCAAACCGTGCCAGAACTCCATTATTTCTTCTCTGGTCATCACAGTTATACTTCCAAAGCTTACATACACCACCGATCTCAACGGTTTTGAATCAAGCCATCTTATGCAACTTTTGTTCTCTTCCCACAGGCTATTGGACGAAACAGAAGGTGAGAAATCTGCAATCTGGGTTTGTAAGAGAGCATGGAGAGGTCCGATTGTGTACAGTTTCGGACAATGAGAACGAATTTGAGAGAGAATCGGTCCTTCTAGCTCCTCAAATGTATTTAGTATGAGGGCAGATGCTCGTGTCGTGTTAAGGGTCTCTGCCATAATGAACTGGAGAAAACGATCACTCAAGTTATTGGTTCGTAAAAAATTCGGGAGGTCTCGTCGTCGGAGAAAGCTTTCCATCCCCGGCACGCACGTTATCGGACAATCCATGTCAGCATCTCCTACAATTCGATCACGACGAAAGAAACATTAAAATACTTGGAAATAGCAAGAGGGGAAAAAATTAGGGAAAAAAGAAACAAAGAGAAAATTTGGAATCTTGCAGCGTCAACCGATTTCTAATATAATATAGCTGTAAGTTTATTTATTTATGGGGTAATAGCATATAAGGGCAATTTTTGGGGTTTAATATCAATAAAAGTAATATATTTAAAAAAAAATCAAAAATAGTTTAACTTTTCAAAAATAATATCAATAAAGGGCAAAAACAATGTTCATTTTCTTCTTCTTGCCATTTGTTCACATGAGTCGTCATTCGCCACCGTCCGCTGCCGCCCACCGCCGCCTCCACCTCCGGCAATGTTGCCAAAGGTGGTCGGAGGTAGAGGTGGCGGCGGCAGCACTAGTGGTTTCTCTGTCCAACGCCGCCACCTCCACCCACCTCTGGCAACGTTGCCGGAGGTGGCCGGAGGCAGAGGTAGCAGCGACAGCACTGGTGGTCATTCCTCTGCCCACTGTCACACCACCTTTGTCTCCACCCATCTCCGACAACGTTGTCGGAGGCGAAGGCGGAGGTGGGCGGCAGAACGGTGGCTCAAGTGAACAAAAGGCAAGAAGAAGAAGATGAATATTGTTTTCGCCCTTTATTGATATTATTTTTAAAAAGTTAATCTATTTTTGAAATTTTTTTAAATATTTTATTTTTATTGATATTAAACCCCAAAAGTTGCCCTTGTATGCTAGAAACCCTTTATTTATAGGGTAAATTGTTGAAACCTCCCCATAATTTTAGTAATTGCAATCACCTCTTGAAATTTCTAATATAGCTGTAAATAGAACTCTCTTAAAATCCATTGATAAGAGGCATGAAAAAGTCCAATTTAAAAAAGAAATTACAATTTTTATGAAAAACAAAAAAAAAAGGATTTGAAGTCGTATATTAGCTTTGAGCCATTAATATGAAGAGCAATTTTGGAAAATAAGCCATTTTTAAAAAATAGATTGTAGAGGCTTAGGAGTTAGGATAGTGATTCTTAAAAAGAAAAAAAAAATTGGAAATTAAACATTTTATTAAAAACTAAGTGGATGAGAAATTTTGGACATTTTTGTACCTCTCGTTGACAAGATTCTGACATATAGGGTTTATTTGCAAATGTATCAACACCAAATGTCAGGGGAGGTTTCATTATGGCGAAAATCTAAATTCAAGGGAGGCTTCAAGTTTTAACAATTTATCATTATTTATAATATAAATAAATTAATTTTGATTTTATTATAAATAAAAAAGTATATCAAAAATTACTATATTATTATAAACTCGATTAAACTAACAAAGCGAGTAAAGCTCAAACGAAATCGAGAAATTCCGACCTACCTCCAAACGGAAGCTCGCCTGCTTCAACGAGTTTGGGAATACTGAAATAAGCCCAGAAGCTGCAAGCGCTGATAGTACGGAAATAAATTACTGGAATGTTAAGCTCTTGAGCCACATCAATGGTGAATGACAGGGTCCCATCTGCTATAATGCATGTCACAGGCGGCCGGACGTCAGATTCCCTTCGATTGGATACGAGCATCTCTCGTAAAGGAGGGATGGACGTGATTTTTAAGGAGTCGAAAAACTCCATGAGCTGGGGGCCTGAGTTGGGGTGATCAAATGGGAGATCACTTGGGATGGTTGCAAAGTGGAATCCGGGCCAACGGGCGAAGCGGGAGGTGACGTTGGTAAAGCGGAGGAGGCGGCGGTGGATGTGTTCGAAGGTGAGGAATGTGACGTGAATTCCGGTGAGGGAGAGGAGCTCTGATAGCTTGAGCATGGAATTAACGTGGCCCTGCACGGGGATCGGGAAGACGACCACATGAGGATGAGGATGAGCTTCTGCTTCTCCTACTAATGCCTCCATCTTCTCCATTCTCAGCATCCACTACAAATTAAATTAAACAAGACCAGAGAGTAACGTGGGGTAACTCAGTTGCTACGATCTATTATTTATTTAAAAAGTAACATCCACTACCCTCACAAATGGGCGCCTCCAGACGGTGTCAGACATTGCTTCGTTAAAAATAAAATAAAGACAAAACTAGAGAGTAGAGACATGTGAGGAATCTAAGTCTTACGCAAGTTGATGAGGGGTAATTTGGCCAGATTTATCAATAACTAGACAGGTGGAAGACAATAATTCATCATTTCTTTTTACCTCAGCAAGTCATGTCAGGTTAACTCAAGTATTTTGGGCACCTCAACCATCCGACCCGCTAAGGTGACACGTAGCCAACTTTCAGAAACTAGTTAGCTATTTCCGACCTCTTTGAAATCATGATACATGTCTGCAAACCTTATCCTAATCTCGTTTGGATCAAACAAACTTGATAAGCCTTATCAATTAGTACGAAGTCCACCTCCTGATGTAGAATGAATTCCTAGCAACACAGGCTAAAAATCTCGGAGGAGTTTCATAAGACCCACAATAAATCACATATACAAGGGCATCCATCCCAACATCTCAACGTATGCACGATTTATTGTTCACTAACTTACTAGCATTCAAATTTTCATCACTAACTTAAACGTAGAAGCATCCACACCGGATAAGCCACCCCGAGTCCTTTGAACCTTACTCCAGCTAATAGCATTCAGATAACACACCATCACAACCAATCATAAATGAATACCCCACTTGCTTTTAGATAACACCCACATGTATTAAATAGGACGGAATGGAGTACCTTTCTGTTTTTACTCTCCCAAGTAAAAAAGTGAAATTAATTGAAATCTTTCTGCTCTGAATCTAAGTTTAAGCCGATGGCTGTTCTTTAATGGGTATTCGTTAAACACTAACAGAAACTAAGGTTCCTTTCAGATCTGTTAGTATCTCTTAGATTTCAAATATGGGTTTCTTGCAAAGAGATACTCTCAGATCTGGAAGAAATCTAAATCAGAAAATGGGTTATGTGAAACAACTCAAAGAGGTTTGTTAAGTCCAAAAGGTTGCAGCTTTTCTTCAACAACATAGCCACCGCTTCTAAGTAACTGACAAGGGATCAAGCAAAGGAGAGGCTAAGATTTCTCAGCGACCTTATCCAGTTGGCAATCTTAGCTGATATATTTGTAGATCGTCAAAGTGGACGGTGTCAAGTTTGCAACCTTCTTTTATGTCTGAATCGGCCTCTCTTTGTTTGGGATGGATTGATTTGCTTGCAGAGTATCGTCCTACACTCAGTGCCTTCTTTGACTATAGTTGTAGCTCAACCCGCCGCGAAGAATTCCAATTTACTTCATCCATTCTCGTTCGGAGATGGAGCCAAATAAACTACTCTTGCAATGGTGGGTTTGAAACGACCAGTGGGTACACTGGATTTGTGGGTCTCCAATGCTGGGAGATGATACAAATGATGGATTTGGAAGTGGGAAGAGGAAGGGTTCGGAGATGGAAACGGAGTTAAGAGTTAAATCTTTTGTACTTATTATGTTTCTCTTATGAATATATAATTGATACATTTTAATTTTATAATTTATTAATTGGTTGCATAAGAAGTTTGTACTCTAAGAACATAAGGATTTGGTCATGAGAAAGCTTTGAGATAGGTAAAGGGCATAAAGCAATAAAATAAAGGTGGGTTATGATAAATATGAAATTGATCAAGAGAGAATTAGAAATTTCCCTCTTGATGTTTATTTGGATTAGTGGAAATAAGTAGTTAATTATTTCTCAAGTGATATATATATAGTAATTTAATTACTGCCATTACCGAATATAAATAATTACTGATTATTATAGTAATTTAATAAATATATAATTAGTGATTATAATTAATAATTACTGTTATTATAAATATTATTAATTAATAGATATTTACTTTAACTTTACATTAAATTAAAATTATAAATACTATTATTTAATTTAGTAAGCTAATTTTAATAATTACTGATTATTACAGTAATTTAATAAATTATATAATTAGTGATTATAATTAATAATTATTGTTATTATAAAAATTGTTAATAGATAGATATTTAATTTAATTTTACTTTAAATTAAAATTATAAATACTATTATTAATAGATACTGTCAATAAATTTAGTAATTATTGCTATAGTAAAAATAATGAAAAATGTTATTAAAAGTATTGTTATTGATTATTTAATGAAATATTATAATTACTAACTATTACTGATAAATATTGTTAATTTAATTTTGGTAGTTATTAATTTAATGAATATCGTTAATAAATCCTATTCATAAATTTAATAGTTATTAATATATTAAAAATAACTAAATAATAGTATTAAAATTATAATTACTGATTATTTAATAAAATATTATAATCACTTACTATTATTGATAAATGTTGTTCATAACGTTCTGACAATCGATGGTTCCACCATCCAGTTCGAACAAATGGTCCATTCTAACAATAAAAATTACAAGCAAAAATTACGAAATCGTTTTGGCCACTGGATTTTGGGTCAACGGTTTGATCGCCCATTTGAACGAATGGTCCATTCTGACAACAAAAATTATAGGCAAAAAATTGAGTGTGTGAGGTCCATTAAGTAGTATCATACATGTTATGTCATTTGAGTGTGTGACTCATATGACCCAAAAATGGAACCATTTTGGCCACCAGTTTTTAGGTTGACGGTTCGACCATTCGGTTCAAACGAATGGCCCATTCTGACAACAAAAAATTACAAGCAAAATTATGAAACCGTTCTAGGCCTCTAGCCACCGGTTTTCGGGTTGACAGTTTGACCGTCCAATTCGAACGGACAACCCATTCTAACAACAAAAATTACAGTTAAAAAATTGAGTCTGTGAGGTCCACTAAGCAGTATCATACTTGTTATGTCATTCGAGCATGTGACTCATATGACCCGAAAATGGAACCGTTCTAACCACCGATTTTCGAGTCGACGGTTCAACCATCTAGTTCAAACGAACAACCCATTTTGACAACAAAAATTAAAAAAAAATAAAAAACGGCCAAAAACCATTGAACGGGTCAATAGGTTAATGGTTTGACCATTTGGATCAATGGGTCATTGACCAATTCAACGGTTTTTGGCCAAGGACTAGGATTGGGGTAAAACGGAACCGGTTGCCTCGATGGTTCCCAATTAAAAAAATAAAAAAATGGACAACCCATTCTGACAACAAAAATTACAGGCAAAAAATTGAGTGTGGGAGGTCCACTAAGCAATACCATACATGTTATGCCATTCGAGCGTGTGACTCATACAACCTAAAAACAGAACCGTTCTGGCCACTAGTTTTCAGATTGACAGTTCGACTATTTGGTTCGAATGGATGGCCAACAAAAATTAAAAAAATAAAAAACAACCAAAAACCATTAGATGGGTCAACAAGTCGACGGTTCAACCACCTGGGTCAATGGATAAATGACCAATTCAACGATTTTTGGCCAAGGACCGAGATTAGGATAAAATACAACCGGTTACCTGGATGGTTCCCAATTAAAAAAATAAAAAGAAAGAACAAAAACCATTGAATGGGTCAACGAGTCGATGGTCAAACGCTTAGGTCAATGGGCTGTTTACTGATTCAACAATTTTTGGCTAGGGACCGGGATTGGAGTAAAATGGAACCGGTTTCCTAGATGATTCCCGAGCCAAAATGTCCATCTACCTGAGTCAACAAGGGTTCCAAATCCATGGTTTTTATGCTTTTGGATTTTCACTATTCAAAGGTTTCTTCTACTGTTGGCTCTATTCGAGCGTATGTGGTATATTCCCTTTTTTTTTCATTTTCTGCTTTTGTTTTTTTTTTGTGTGTGTTTGATCTTCTTCTTCAAGATCCCCCAAAACGGTCTAGAGTTTACCACCATTTTATTTCTTCCCTTTTGTTTTTTCTTTGGGCTTTCTTATGCAATTTTGTTATTTTCTTACAAGATGATCTGCTTTGTCTCTTTCTTTGATTGCATATATGTTTAGCTCCATCTCAAAGCAGAACTTTGGAATCAATTTTTTGGTTTTTTTCCTTGGTTTTTCCAGTTTGGTAGGTTTACCGCCAATTTTTTTATGTGTTTAAGGTCACTTTGAATTTTTCTTTCAAGGTTTTGGAATCCCTTGCAATGTCCACCCTTCCCATGACTACAACTACAAAGTTATTTCGTCTAATTATTGACACCTAGGAAAAACGACCCAAAAATGGAACCATTCTGGCCACTAGTTTCTAGGTCAACAGTTTGACTGTCCAGTTCGGACAGATGGCCCATTCTAACAACAAAAATTAAAAATAATTAAAAATAAAAAATGGCCAAAACCGTTGAATGGGTCGACGATTAAACTGCCTGGGTCAATGGGTCATTAGCTGATTCAATGATTTTTGGCCAGGGACTAGGTTTGAGGTAAAACAGAACCAATTGCCTAGATGGTTCCCGGGCCGAACAGTCCTATCATCCAGGTCAATTAGGAGTTCTTGGTATGAAACAAAGGACAACTATGAAGTAGAACTCATAACTATCACTGTATGATTATGTTCTTTTATATGAGATGCTTTGCTGAAATAATATTTAAAAAAAAAGCTCATGATAATCTCTTTTAAGTCTTTATATGAGTTTCAAGACTTGAATACTTATAATTGCAAGTTTTTTATTAAGAAAAAATTGTCTTTTTTAATATAGCAAATAGCAATGTTACAATTCCATTCCAACCCCTACGAAGCAGGGCCCCTCCGCTACCTTATATTATTTTACAAACATATACAATAATCAAATGTCCTAGAGTACACCTCGATTGGTAGATTCATCCCTAAGGTAGAATCCTTCTACCGGTAGGGTTTCTTTGTTATTTCTTTTCAATGATGGCACATAGCACTGCCTTGTTGTTTACTGATTTCCTTGGACCATTCCTATGCCATGCTCCATAGGAAACTTCATAGCAAGGTGGTATGAAGATATCACCGCCTTGAGGGCATGAAGGCTTGGCCAACCAATAATAGCGTTGTAAGGAAAGCCACCCTTTACA